CTAAGTGGTTGAGGAATGCTGTGCATACACTCACGGGATGTATTTGTGACGAAGAAAGGGAGCGCATCATCTGAAGGTGGGACTGGGAGCAATAAACGCACGCAACATCTTACTGTGTACCCCTTTTATTGGTCCATGTACACTTTTGTGACTGAATGAACATGATGAATGTTGTTCATTCTTGGGGTGTTCTCACTATGAACATGACAGACAATGAAAGCGGACAAAATATACAGTTCCTCAGGTAGACAAAGGAACATCCCTTCACTGCTATTATGTAAAATGTGTAGAACAGGTGAATATGCATGTGACACCTATTCTACACATTTTTACATAATAGCAGTGAAGGGATGTTCCTTTGTCTACCTGAGGAACTGTATATTTTGTCCGCTTTCATTGTCTGTCATGTTCATAGTGTCTAGACGTGCTGTACAGAGTCTTAGAGGATGTTCACCAACCAACTGAGTTCTGATAACAACTTCTTGTGACAAGAGATGAATGGGTTGAATAGACATAACCAGTGAAAAGTCTTTGGCACCAATAGCATAACAGGGATAAGCACAATCATGGTATTAAAACTTCCAGTACTACTGGATAAACACATGCTCAATTACTATAGGCACTTACTTTCCCAAGTAAATAATGACATATTCTATTAAAGGTGCATTTGGTTTTTGTTATTTTGAAATCGTCTGATATTGTCTTTCCTCATTCAATGCAATAAACACCCTGAACCAGGTCTCATATCGAATGAAAATATCCCCAAATTGTCTTACTGTACCACTTTCTCATCTTTAACATTTCAACTTTTTAGACCTTTGTCTGACATTATTTTTGTTGGCAAGAAACCAAACGTTCGTTAGTGATCTATTGTGGAAACATTTCCTAAGGATACGACAAATAAAGCAGATAGTCAATGCCTTTCCTTAGAATGTTTGATTTGGAACTCTTTGTCGAGTTGTACAGGGGTCTAAAGGCACTTTGCAAGTTTGTATTTTCTTGGATTAACTTTGATTGACAGAAATAAACAAGTCTTACTGAGTGCAAGTAAATCCTCCATTTTTTTCTCAAAAGAAAGCGTTGCATTGGTGCTACGACACGCAAAACGTAATCCCGTTTATTTTTCACCTGCCAAGTTTCTTTTGCCGGACCTCGTGTAAGTTATTTACAAACCTGTGGAATGAGAGGTTTACCCTGCTTTCTGTTTGTATGGTTCCCTGAGCTGTCTGTATTTTTTCGAAGTCAAAACATTTTCCGAGGTCTGTAAAGATTAATATATACTTTTAAACAGTAATATTCCTCAATATGTTAATGTCATCGTTTATGGAGTAGCATTGTATTAAGATCAATGTAGGCCATTACATTTGACAGCTCTATATGTCGATAAAAGATTCTTCACCTGATGTCCGAAAATCATTACTAGGCAAGTGAATAAAGAACAACATAGTCTTAATTTTACTATAAAGTGCCATAAATTTGATTACAACATTTTGTTGCATAAATTTAAGTCACTGATGCAACGTGGAGAAGGTGAACTTTTTATAATTCATATTCGGGTAATTTTTCACTTTATTCTATTTCCAATTCTCTTTGGATGCATTACAACTAACTTGATTTGAAGATGGAGACGGGTTTATAACTTTTGTTCTGAAGTAGGACTACTTAATATTATTGACGATAATATTGGATATTTCATAGCGCACACGTCAACCACCCACCCCTACTCTGCTGGGCTACTGTTTTCAGTGCTCACAGCATTCACGGAATTCATTCCTACCGGTACCCATTCAACATCTGGGTTGTGAGTGGCAAATATAGATCAAAGTCTCACCAAAGGACTCAATAATCAACATTATCATATATCAATATTAGCATTAAAGAAATGTCACATTTGTTCGTTTCTAAGCTTTCCATTATAAACACATGTTTTTATTGCCCCCGGATAATGGATTCAGTTTCAATTATACACACTGTCTGTTTCACACACTTTTTCTTTTCCACAAACTGTACCCACCCCTCTGCCATGTACATGTACCAGGCGCCAGTTTACAAGCTAACTAAATTAATTGATTTCTTGAAAAAGATTGAATCCATGAAAACACGAAGAGCACGACACCCCTGAAGCTTTTTAGGAATGAATATACCCTTTCTTCGTTATCACTTGGTGGAATAATTGCTCTGGCTTAATGTGTTTTCCTTTTCATCATTTCTATTCAATGTTTGGAGTCTTTCTCGACAACTTAGGTCTAAACCGCTTAAGCGAATAATAGGAAATATCCCGGGTGAAAGATTCAATTTTGAGTGAATGTGATGATCCCCTACGTTTTGAAAAATAAACAAAATGGTCCAATACTTTAACGACGGCTTTGTATTAACAACACTTTACTTTGGTAAATAGAAGAGGATCTCGTATTAAAGGCAGTGATGAAGTACTAATCTCCTCTTCTGATATAGTTCATTGAATCAAAAAGAGAAGGGAAAAAGTCGATTAAGTGATTTTCAGTTTATGTTGATAACAGAGTTTCCCTGTAAAGTGAATATAAACTATGATTCGAATGAGAGTTATAATGGTCACCTTTTCACTAATGATAGAGCTATATGAAACGAACTCAAGCCCGATGGTGAAATTATTGAAACAATAAAGTGGACAGAGCCAAAGAAATACATTTGGAAGTGGTATCTGTATATGCAATCAATGGAAACAAGAAACAAAAGTTAATAACGTCTAGCCGTAATGAACGAGATAATGAACAATTACCAAATTTACATCTCTGTTTATGAATAGGATCCTGTTATTAAAGACTGACATTAAGTCAAGTTAACATGAAAGTGGAAACAAAATAAATAAGACGAAAAGACGTTGAGCAGAAGAGAGCAACTGATAGATTTTAAAGTAAAATAACTCCTTTCACATTTCCATGATCCGCCTAACGGTAGTTTTTTAAAGATTTATTAATACTAATTGTACATAATAATGTGTTAACGACTTTGTAATATTATTAATTAACTATGGCATGAAAGAACCATCCTGTGACATAATTTAGTACCGAACCTGCTGTAAGGTATATTGGCAACATCATGTAACCTTTCTCTTCGAATCTCTTGGTCCCCCTCAAAACGCACACGCGCGCACACGTATCCCCCGCCCACACTCTGAACTCTATCTTACATGTACAAGGGAAACGGAAAATCGCCCTCCCCATCTTCAAATAGAAAGAACTAGGAGTAGCCTCTTATATAACAAAACGAAAAGAATAGGATAGAAGCGTTTACCACTTTGTGTGAATTGGTCTAAGAATTTGTTGTAAAGAATTAGAAAGCGTGATGTTTTATTGATGAATAGAACGTTAGTCTTTCTTGTTGATAGCGAGGTAAACAATCTCCGATTTGTGAGGTGTACAGGAGAGGACAAAAGAGAGAAAAATCAATTTACATGTTCCATTTCAGTTAAAGAAGTTTTCAGATGGGTGAATATTCATTATATAGTACACACTGCATGGTGTTCCATGTGTAAGGGTAAGGAATATCGGTGGTTTAAAATATAATTGTGAACACATTTTTCTTTTGTTTACAATCACGATATAGAACTTTGATGTTAAATGAAGAGAGGTTTAGAAAGCAAGGAAAGTTATAGTGATATTATAAATTAGAAATTGTTAGAAATTGGTGTTTTAAAGTTATTCAAAGATATCCCTTCACTGCTTAGTATTGAATTATAAATCAATTATGTCAATGGGTGATTACCTTTGGAAGACTGAAGGTATACTTCTAAACTTTTTTTCTGATCCATCTATCCATAATTTTGGACAAATAGTAATTATTGGTAATTAGTAGCAATTAAAAATTATATGTACACGTTGATCCATGGGTCAGGTATTCGGCCCTACATCTTCGTGTCAATTTCGACTATTATCACCAGCACTGCCCTTGTTTTATAATACCGTATTCCCCATCTCGTTCGTTTGAAATATCATCATGATGTTATGGTTTACTTTTAAGTAGATCAATTTCGTTTCTGTGATGATTTTCCCAATCTTCAAGCATGTAATAACAGTGGTTACCTTTACGACACGACCCTTCTTCTTCTCTGTTACCACAAGTTCCAACCACTGAGCTATTGTTCTTTCTCTCGGTCATTTCGGACAGATAATCGAAATCAATTAACATTGCTTAAGTGCCGAACATCCCTGTAATTTATGTTACCTGAAAACCACGAAGGTGATAAGACACCAAGATATACAAATTAGGACAGTGCATGTATAGTATCAGTCTACTTCTCTCGTAGTTCGATAGACACCGTATGATTTCTTCACTTGTAGAAATAGGCCTGCTGGCTGGAAAGGTGTTTACCTTTAGGGAGCCGACATTTATCACCCCAATTTAATGTGGTGGTTATAATTATGTACAGCTGATTTACATTATGTTCATTTTAGGCAATTATTTTCTTCTAAAGCGAATCTTCATAGTATAACCTAGTTGAGTCTATAACATGTAATTTTTTCACCAATTTTGGCATTATCGACAAGATTGATGCCTATAAATTTGTTCCAACGTGACGAAAATATTGTTGGCCTAAAAAGGGGTGTACATGTCAACCGAGTTAATTGCATAATTATCATGATTATACCGCTTCCTTCCTTTCCCCTATTCAGAAGTGTGATACAAGCAGTAGCGTCGCTGTCATGTCCCGAATATAACGAGTCAGAGCCCACCTATGCATATCTTTCATTATGGTGGCACATAACAAACAAGAACGGTGTCTTTTCATTTGATCACAGTTGTTTGAAACCCCCCTCGGGCTGTCGCTATTCTCTTCCATTGAATGGCATTTGAATACAATTATTATGTCTTATGAATTAGTTTCAGCTCAGTCTCGACTGCGCCTAAACACATATACGTGTCTACGCAGTGTATGGCCTTCTAAGGTTTAAAATCCCATGAGCTTAATCAAATAGGTGTTTAATTCTACTCATTTTTGTCTGGTTTGTTTCTTCTTTCAGAGAACGGCAAATGCAGTTCGCGCCATTGGGCGTATGAGTGCTCTTCGCTTGGTTTCTCAACGAAAAGCAAGTCAATCGAACGGTAGTACACCAAGCGAGAAGAACCCAACCTCACCATCCCCTTCAAGTAGTAGTATCAGCTCTCCTGTGAAACATCCTACAGAGGGGCAGGGCAGTGAGCGTACCCCTAACGCCGAATCGAAGATAAAAGAAAAGGCAGAGATCGATAAGGGTATTGATCAGCAAGGTAGTGCAACCAATACAGTGCCTTGTGTTGATCAGGAGAAGCCTGTGAACACACGCAGTGATAGGAACAGTTATGAGAAACCTTCTGAGACAAACGGTAGAGCCTTGTCCTTTACTTTAGACTCGGACGTGGAGAATGATAGCGGTCTTGACTTATCCTTGGATCAGACTGCTCTAGGAAAGCAGAGTGACAGATCATCCCAGAATTCAGTCAACGAAGGACGAGACGAGCTACCTGTTGACTCTGGTATTAAAACGAATGGTATTTCAGATATCACACGTGATCAAAGCTTAAAGGTTGATAAGGATGATCAGCTGCGTAATTCTGTAATCGACACTAATTCTGTGACATCATCTTCAGCTGATAAGAGTGATATCAGCGTGTGTTCTGATGCGAGTGAAGATACCAGTGACCCAGGAGTAAACATGGACCGCTATCTCTACGATCCTAATAAGGGGGTTAAGAACCAGGCTGCTAAATGGGAGGGTCGTCACGACAGTCCAGATAGGAAGTCCACCAAGCAAACGACAGGTGGACAATCACCTCCGCAGCAAGCACCGGTCTTCAGGCAGAAGTTCCGACATTGTGAGGTGATCGTCGGGTCAGTGGCTTGCTTCGAATGCCGTGTCGATGGTCACCCGAGTCCGGACATCATCTGGTATAGGAACGGAAAGAGGGTGCAGGAGAGTGAGAGGTCAAGGATCATGAAGGGTGGTGAGGATGTCCATTCTCTGGTCATCAAGGAGGTCACTAAAGATGACCAGGGCACCTACATGTGTGAAGCTAGGAGTCCCGCAGGAAAGGCTCGCTGCAGCGCCAGGCTTGTGGTACAGCAACGTAAGTATCAATATATCACGACGTCATAGTACTTGGCTTAGTCCCATGTATATTTATAATGGGACATGTTGTGGCTGGTTGTTACATTTTTAGAGATTTAAGATTTTAAACAATTTCCAAATATGTTCTAATCCATTGAGCTTGACATTCTAAATACTTGAGTATTAAAAATCGTTCAGTTGCCCTGCACTATTTATAGAAATTTACTTAAATCCAAATATTAATATTTTGTTTCGAGTAACTATAGATTCATCTTGTTTTGATCAATAAAAATAAATTAAAAAATATCTTAGAGGTTGACTTGGCTATTGGAAATGTAGAGATTTATATAAATTACGTATGAGAGGAGGGGTAGATGCAGGGTACACGTACATTAACCATTACCAAACATGACACTCGTCTTGACCACATCCTAGAGAGGAAAGTCAACAGTTGTACACTGTCTGATGTTTGTTTGATGTAGCGCTATTCTATCAAGATCTATCAATATTTGATTACGGATATAGGACAAGGCTTCGGAGGAAAAGTCCTCCTGTCTCACAAGAGGTATGACGTTTCCAGCTTCTGAATTTGTCACATCACAACATATAGTACTGGAAGGTATTACTATGTGGCAGGAAACAAACTAATAAACAAATAGGTTGGGAAACATTGAATAGTTGGTCAAGCATTTACTTTGCATCGCTTTTACGTTTCATTCTTCTTGAACTGTACCGACATGCTGATAGTCCCAATACATTTGTGTACCGTCTCGAAATTCCATCCACTCCCTTAGTATGCACTTCAGAGTAAACTGAAGTATTTCAGCCATTGACCTCTTCAGTCATTGAACGTTGAATCAGTCCTTCATCTAAACGTAAAGTGCTGAGGACTGAATGACTTGCTAAAGTTTGCCTATTGTTATTTACCAGGAATACCAACAGGCAGAACCTGATAGATTGTAATGTATACATCTTGAACACTCGTATGAAAAACTGGTGAATTGTGTACTTTGAAAGACGTTTGGATTCAATTTCAAATCGTTCGTTATAGAATGCAAACATGATCTGATCACGTGACTGATTCGAGCCACTGATATTCATCACATACGTCAAGAGCTCCACATTTCCACCTACTTAGATTTGATGAAACTTTGGTATATATTTCACATTATCCTGCTTTAATGCCACCGTGGTAGATTTGCAAAACTCTTCTAAAAGGATCTGTGACTCGTGAGGAGTGATGAGGTATTGTGCATCAAGAGCACGGTCCGAACAGCACCTGAATTTCGAGATGCAAGAACTCGGTTTATCTCACATTGTTAAAATACATGGGTTGAAATTAAGGGGCAGATGTCAAACTGTTTTAATATAAGTTTACACCAAAATAAACCGAGAAGGTTTTCAAAAGACCAAAGACTGTTGCCGCGTAATTTGGAATGGGTGCAATTTATTCTTCCCGATGACTCAACATAAACCTGTAAAATTATATAATTATTGTACACCAGCTAATTTCTAGTATAAATGGTCATGCTGGTGCATCAATAATGAAAGGACTGTCATGATACACAGAAGCCCCTAGATAGAGAAACTAAAGGATATTGGAATACAATTACTGCTCATTCAAACCAACACCTGTTCACAGCCTCTTAAAAGTTATTTGAAGACAAAAAGGATGCTAAGCTTCTGGTGGTGCTGATGTTGATAGAGCTGACCGTGTTGATGCTTCTGTACATTCCACTGTGACGACATCTTTCGACTCTTACGTTTGACCCTCGTTGGCATCTTGACCTTGTGATTGAAGGTCACTCTCCATTTCTCTCCCTCTCTCCCCCATCCTCCCTCCCTCTGTCCCTCACCCTCCCCCTCTCTCTCTCTCTCTCTCTCTTTCCCCATCTTCCAATTTCATCTCCTCCTTTTTCTGTCTTCTTTGCCTATTTCCGTGTGCATTTCGGCGACTCCTTCCTTCGCCTCTCTCTCTCTCTCTCCCATGTTCCACCTATCGTGTCTCTATCTCTCTTTCTTCTCTGTCTTCCTCTTCCTGTCAACAGTCTAGATGGTGGTGTACAATGAAGAACAAGAGTATTACACACACACAAGTGGTGATGAAACGTGGTGATGAAACAAGCAAGACGAAAAGAAATAACTAGTCATCTTACTGCTCACAAAAAATACTGACCTACAGCTGTTACCAACTTTATTTTGTAACCCTCCTACCACCCTCTATTTTCTTCTTATAAAGTGTTTATTCAGGTTTTAAGGTAGACCCACGCTGTAGTATGACCACGTATACAGCACTGAACATATGGACAGTTATAGCTAGCCAACCCACAACACACAACAGCTTTGGGGATAAAATAGGATAAACTAGAATCCATTTCCCCGCCATTACCACTGATTACTCTTCCTAACCTAATTATACCATCACTTTCATAAAGCATCTCAACCGAGACTTCCATTCTACAAACCTTGGAGATCAATAAATGGAAACCCTCCTCAGAATGGGGGATGTCAATTGAAAGAAATTACCACTCGCACAAAAGGACCTTCATTACAAATACAAATGGTTTGTACAAGTAGTGAAACACAATACCTCTCCCTCCCATTTAAAGGAGTGTACTGTGGAAGAAGGCGTTTTTACATTATAGCTCCATACCAACTGCAAGTTACTGGCCAAAGCGCTCGAAGTATTCTTTTACCCCGGTCACGGGATTTAGTTATGATTCAATCGTTAGCATGATAGTGCTTCAAACTATATAGCAGACATCAGGTGGAAATACATATATATGGTTGTTGATCATAAGTTGTCGTTGAACAAGAAGAAATAGAACGGTTTCATTCAATACTGTCTTCACGTTTGCAAGAATTAATCAGGCCACCAGTCCTTGATCCGTGTAAAATGTTGATAAACGTAATCGTGGAGTGGGAGGGGCTTGAGTCCAGTTTGACGTTAAAAGTCAATAAGACCCTTACTAATGCTATTTAGACAGGGCTCATGTAAGCTTCTCAGACCTTGTACATGATTAATGTCGTCTTATGATGGTGAAAATTACTGTAGATTTGACATTCACACCTTCGACATTATTATGTAAACCATTATCTCTAAATAATGAATATGGGTCAAACAGTAGTCATATACCACTGTTAGATGAAAACAAACGTAATACGTCTTCAAAGTTCAATGATGAGGGCCACGAGGGTGGGACGAAGAACAGACAAGCTCATAGAGATCTTCTTTTACGTTGAGTTACATTGGAACCTTACTGACGAATGGAGAATGGTCCGAAGAACCCTGTTCAATTCAAATGCACTTAGTTGGGTTGTTTGCTCTATTTTCAAAGATACCATACAAACACACATCATGATATTTTGTATAGGAGGGATAAAGGATCAGGTCAATCAATCCTTACTTGAGAAAGGGTTTTATATCAAGTATTGATGATAACACATAACTTATTGGAATTGATTGTGTATCCCGGTCTTTACTATGATCTTCCTGGCGTGGGGGGGGGGGGGGGGGTGGATATACCAAACATCAAATCGTCACAGTTCGGATCATAGCGAACGGATTGATTACATGTATGAAATTAATTCGTTTCATAGTATTGCTTTGTAAGGAGGGGTCCCTTAAATGGTTGAGTTAGCGGAATATGATACAGAGGTTTTAGAATTTTGAATACCAAGGATTACCTGCAGAATCAAATCTCCTTTTCATTAATAGATATAGATGCACAAGTAAACATTATTCAGGTGTGTCGTGTGTATTGTTTCATTGGTATCACGGAACAAAACAAACATGAGTTAATCGTTTGGGCATGCACAGATAAAGGTAATCTAAACTAACCCAAGCATTTTGAACGTCTTCTTTCTTTTTTCTTTTTCTCTCTGTCAAGAATTATCTTATCCCAAGATAAGTATAATGCTACGGGGCAAGCCCAAATAAATACCATGTGAAAAGAAGAAATTCTGTCTAAATTATCTTACATTCATATACGGCATTACTAAACGAACACAAATATAAGGGTCTTTTGGGGAGGAGGGTTGAATGTTATATCTGCAGACACCGAACAACTGAGCACAGAAGAAAACCAACTACATGAGATTAACTCGGTACTAGGTTTCCTTTTTAAAAGTGTTTCGTGACCATAAGTTTGTATTGGTGATTCAATAATCAATATATTGCTAAGATCGTTCGTTATGGATTGTCTTGTTGTTATTCTCGTCAGTAGTGACGTACCAGTCTTAGAAATAAAACTGTAATCTTTATGTTCCCATCGCTTTGATGATATTCGTTGTTAGGTATGAATCCAGTATATTCTATCTATTTAGCTATTGGGGGGTTTCATCTCACCAGCCCATGTAAAAACTTCTCTCCTATTTCCCTTCCACATTCTTTTATCTAACCGCTCAAGGATATTCTTCTTCGTTTATAGCTGTTAGGTTTCCTTTTTGTCAGTTTTGTATGGATAATATTAGGTTCTCAGGGGATATCGCTCCCTAGTGTACAATTGAAGTATTAAGCTTGTCATATAAGTGACCATTAGTAAACTTAACGACTCGATTAAAAGATCTGTATTTATAAAGTGATTCTTATAACTGTCACTGAACAACGTTTAAGATACTATTATTTGCGACATACTTACAATTTTAACGGGAATAATCAACAATTAAAGATACAATATGCAATATATAACAAGCCTGTGTTTAAAAGGAAAGAAGTTTAAATTGCTCAAATGCGTTTTAAAAAATCCACTTAATTACCAGTATGACTTCGGTTCCCTAATATGATTTCTTTTCTGTACAATGAACTATTCTTCAGGTTAGACACAATCTATTGTAGTACCAAATAAGTCCTTAGGTAGTCCAACAAGGTTTCGATTTCAGGATCCCTCTATTACACGTTTTAAGTCATTCATTAATTTGAAATACATCACTGTTAAAAGACAGTATTGTTGTACATAATAGAGTCTTCCTGAATACAGATTAGGGGGTAATTTTAAACGTCCCCTGTGGGTTATTTAA